CAGCATTATTATGACAAACAGTGCCAGGACTAGTGCAAGTAATACAGGCATCAGTGCCTGTACTGGTGCATGTCTTTGTGATGTAACCATACCCGAAGTAGCACTAAAGGGCTAAAATCAAGAAGCCCGAATGATACAGCCGTCACGACCGTCAGGGGTCGCATTTGAGACACAAGGTCTGTTGACACTCCAAAGGCAAGTCTAGAAGGACGCCGTGACGATCAGAAGCCGATACAGCCCCAAATTGCAAGTTTGAATGGCTTGCTGCAAGGATTATCCCTTACCCTGCCACGGCCCGAGTGGGCATGAGATTGAGACCCTGAACCCTATAGCCCTAAACCCTGTGCAGCCACGTGTGCTCGTGAAGGGGAAGTCTAGGTCCCGGAAAGGATACCTGCCGAGCTCTGTAAGATCTAACACGGCATCTGCGCAATCTGCGGCCGCTTTACAGCTTCAGGTCGCTGGCACAAAAGGGCCGCCAAGCTTTGTAGGCAAGTAGCAGTGCAAGATGCGACATCATCAGCGCAGAACGCTACAGTTCTCCTACCTCCGAGAGTAGCAGGGAAATCCTCAGGGTATGCCTTATTCAAGCCTGCCACGTAGATCCTGATCTCTGCTGGGAAGCGGAGTCCCGAGCGGGCAATTTGACGAGCAGCGTCTATAAAAAAGCTAGAACTATGCAAGCTGTCCATCCTTGGAATGCAGGATGCGACAGTGGGCCTCTCGGCTACACTGCCTTCCGGTACAAAACAGGGTTAGCGTTGAAGTACTTCTGCCACCTCTACAGTAGCCGACTGATGCTGGCTACAACCCTCGAAGACCTCCAGCTGCCAGCAGTGTGACCCTAACCTAAACGCAAAAAACTCCATCAAAGGCCCAACCTTCCCCAACACAGTCATCAGGCGAGGCGCTCTTTGAAGTATGGCTGCACATTCAGCAGACAGTTGTACGGCAGCAGGGTGCAGATACCCAGATACATTAACGCGAGCTGCGCTCGGTTGTAGAGCATCCTGAGCTATAGGGTTTTTTCGGCGCAAGATGATGCGTGCCCCCGAGACAATCTGAAGAGCCAAGGGCACTCCCACGTGTAAAGCCTCACGCGCCACTCGGGCATGAGCGTGTAGCCCCAAGACATCCTTGTGTCTACCTGGTGCTCCGAAAAACAAAGCCTGCGCCCTACAACTCTCCCCCACAAAGCTTGCCTTCGCTCGCCAACAGCTGAGAATAAGTATAAATGAAACAGCTGAAACAAGTATAAATTTGGACTAACCCCCGGGAAGCCACCCAGATCTGGAGGACTCTGGCATTTTGATCTCGCTCAGGCCGAACCTACGAGCACCCTAAACCCTCGAGCCGACTGACCGCAAACGGTGAAGACGATACATCCCCGAAGCTGACTCCTAAGCTCCAGCTCCGTAGATTGTACGGACCAGACCCTACACCCTTAGCCCCCAATGCCTGAACCCCACAACCTAAGCAGAAAATCCCAAACCTGAGCCCTAGACTCCAACCAAACCCATACGTAAGGCCTACACTCTATAAACACATTCCCAGACTCTAGAAGCTCTACATCCAAAACCCAGAGCACCTGAACCCTACAGTAGATTCTCTGTGCCACCGAGGAGCTCCTCCTCCTCGCTCTTCTGCCGAAGCAGCTCTCTCCGCAGGAGGCCGAGTGCTTGAACCATAAGGGGCTGAAGGGGAGGGGCGTATGGGCGTATGGGCTGAGAGCAGTTAACAAAAAATTGTACACTTGCAGGGCAGAACCGAGCCCAAAGCAAGGACTTCCAGGAATTGGTGGGCTGCAAAAGTGACACTTGTGGGTTTGGGCTTTGTGTGAATGTCAACTTTAGCAGGCACTCTTGGCAGGATCTGAAATACGCAGCGAAGGGTTCAAAGCCAAAATAAATGCCGACTGGGGCTCACATAAACAGCAAATTTTGGTAATCGTGGGCCGGCCGTGTCCCTCAAGTCCACCCCCTGAAAAAGTCCGTTGATCAAACCCAACTTGAAGCAACAGCAGCCTAGGTGCCAGGCACTGGCATGTAGTCGCCTCTCTCGTCTCCACATGCATTACACCTGCCGCAGCTTGTAATACCAAAGCACGAGCTTAGATTGCGGCGACGCGCCGATGATCCTGACATAAGCTTACCGCAGCGGAAATGTTGTGTTTTCCCGCTGCATTAGCATGACCTAGCCCCGGCCTTGCTGCCTTGAGAGCAAGATGACCGCCCCTTAGGACCTTCCAGCACCTACACTGGATTGAGACGGACAAGATCCCCAATTTCCGCACACACATTTTTGGGACTTCCTTCGCCACGATTGGTTGTGCGATGGCTTGGCTTGAGCCAAGCGGTGGCCCAAGGAAAATTAATCTCCGTCACCCTACACATGCTTCATTGCCTCGGAAACGACAAATACGGAGGAATACTTGGCATCAGCAGTGCTGCCCTATTGCATAATTTAGTTGTACACTTACACATTGTGCAGGTATCTAGAAATATGGACGCGCAACATGTATATCTTTACAGACATGCACAAGCCTGTATTCTACATCACGTCCTTCTGCTCCACTCATACAAGCCTATGTGAGATGTCAAACGGTCAAGCCAGAAGAGTCCCAGGATCTGGTTGGGGCTTCTGATGGCTTCAAGGGATTGAAACAGAACATTTCCGAGTCGCGGAAGATTCAAGGGTCAGACCACCAACAGCTGCAGAAGTTTGATTGTGTCCGGTTGGCTGCTCCAAACAGATCCTGGAGAGCAAAACGACTTGCACGAATCAAAGCCGTGCAGTCCTCTGGCATACCCTGGCTCTACAAGCCAGAAGCTCCATGTTGCATCTACCTCGACGAGTTGCTACACCAGCATCTTGCTGGCCCAGTGCCAAGACGGGTTACAACGCTAAGTGACGGTGAGCACTAGGATAATTAAGTGGACTCGAATCAACGATTGCAACTCAGTCAATCTGTATATCTGGATATCTCCTAAACCTATATACTCTCCTCAGCAGGACGCTCACTGCATCCACCACCGTGGGTTGGACCGGCAGCCTGCCAATGTCTTCAGGTCCCGCTTGAAGAATCTCTCAAGAATCTCTCTGTGCTATGGTTGTTAGATCAAAGTTGCGGGGCACAGGTGGAATAATGGTGGAGGTTGGTGGTAATGGTGATGGTGATGGCGGGGATGGCGGTGGCGGCAGCAGCCGCGGAGGTGTGGCTGACAGCTGGCAACAGCAACACAACACTTTTAAGAACAGACACGGCGCCACAAGCATAAATATGTAGCCACTTGCGAAGTTACAAGATAAATCAATAAAGAGAGTACTACTTCTACTCCCGCAACTGCTAACAATATTCTAGTATCAGGGCATGTTAGTAGCTGCTGCAAGAAAGTGGCCTATAGCTCTGGTCGCTTCGGCTTCTGGATACGAGGCCACGCCTGCAAAGGATCCATAGTTCTCAGGCTCAGAAGGTCATCATAGGGCTGTTAGCATGCCCGACCGGGGTCTTGCGAAGGCTGAAGTTATCAGCTAGTAGTGATCCAAGGTGTCAAGGACTGCTTCTTCTTCCGGACTGGTGGTTGCATGCGAACTTGGGTACACCTGCAATAAACACCCTACCTACGGCTGAGCTCTCTTTGAACCTGCCTTGGTTGGCGTGATCTCGTCAATTAGCCCGTACTCCTGGCATGGAGGAGTAGTGTCTTCTCACAGGGGCTGCTTCCAGAACCACTTCGCAGAAGAACGTGCGGACAGCTGCTCCTACCACCCCTTCTGCTTTGCATCTGTACCAGTACTTCTGATGCCTCAAGAGATGATGACAAATTTCTTTCTTTGCGATTGCTCCAGAGCCTACACTAATTACTGTAGGTGGTGCCAGATGCTCTCCGTGACTGCATCAGCACCATGCAAAGTCGCACAGACGGAGCCTTGGCTTCCTCTGGGGTCATGAAGTTGTCGCGGTCGCAGTCCTGCTTCAAAGAGAGAGGTGTCAGCATCCTACTGAGGCCTTCTGGTGCAGAAATTGACGGTTGGCACAAACCGTGCAGGGACTGTTAAAACTAAACATGCCGGCACCAATTGCAAATTCCGCAAGGGTTTCTGGGGCGCGCGAGCGTCTCTAAGTGATGCGTCTCTTGATTCAGACATGGCAAACACGGGAAGCTTAGGGATAAGTGAAGACAACCGAGTAGCTGGACCTCGATAGTTCTCAAAGTCATACAAGGTCATAATCAGGCAGAACTGCACTTGGACACGGACGTGGCGGAGATGGTAAAAGACTTCCTAACCATGACAGCCTTCAGAATGAGTCAGATGCAGATTGCACTTGCTGTTCCTGCGGATTTTTTGAAATTTGGGATTCTGGCTAACCTGTCATCATCTATGGGTGGTAATGATGAGGGGGATGGATTCAGGGACAACCAAAACCAGGTCCATCATTTTGGAAAGCCTGCAACTACGTAAGGATCCTATTACAAGCTCTGCGGAATATTTGTTCAAACCTATTCCTGCAGAGGTCCTTAGCAATAGTTTCAATGGGCTGCCCCGTGGCGTCAGCCAGATGCATGTTCAGGATCTCACCTTGCACTGGACATGGCTGAAAACTAGCCAGCTTCTGCTCGAACAAGCAGGAGCACGCACAGACTGACGTGGGGCTTCGGCAGGCGCTTCGTGATGGTGTAGGCTGGCTTAAAATGCTCTCTCCCTCAGAACCACTGAGCGTCAAGCGCATATGCAGGATCTCACGGGCCTGCGTACCGGGGGAAGCGGCGGAAGGCGACAGTTCTTCTCCAACTCATGCTCTCAGCTGATTCAGATTGCTCTTGAATTCTGTGTATCTCTGTCGTGGCGCATGGAACCCGTCCCATCCCACTATCTGGCGCTCATGCTGAAAACCCAGGCTAGCGAGGCATGGTACTGAACGCTAGCGCAAAACCAGTGACAATCTGACCGTTTCGCTGCTTGCGCTGCATGGATGCGAGGTGGCCTGGATGCGGACGTCAACCGCCTGGCCTTGCGCTCCGCCCAGAGGCTGATGGATCATGATGCCTCGGGTGATCTCGGGTAAACTTGGGCGAGCGAAATGCTGTGCTCTTTCTGCTGTTCAGTTTTGCATTGTTGGGGGGGGAACAACGCCCAACTTTGACGCATCCTCCATCTAGCATCAGGCGGATTGAAAGTTTGCGGCCTGAAATGGCCCGACCACGCCTTTGGAAGTTAGCAAGCATGAAAGTCGCAGACAAATCTTTCACTCTGAGACTGCTCAAGCGATGTTTGGTGCATTCATATGCAGGACGTGCATCTGTGAAAGGGGCTGCCATATTGAACGCCCAGCTGCGAGAGTTGGGCAAGCTCTTTCCTTGGATCGCTACAGTCTCTGGCCTAAAGTGCCTCAACTCCTCTCTGACACCCACATGTTTAGCTAACATCCTGGAAATAAGTCATATCACTGCAGGAAATCTGCACAGAATGGCTCACCAACAGTAGTAATCTCCAAGGTGCGCTTGCCCTTGGTCCCGGCAGACAGCAAAAATGAGCCCATGGAAGCAGCCATTCCAAAGCAGACTGTGCTCACCTGTCAATCCACCAGGGGAAGATTGCTTGGAGCTTGTTCGCAACCAGGTAAGCAACAAGCCAACCCAGACCATGTAAGCAAAAATGCTGCCGGGAAGCGTCGCAAGGGATGAACTGCATCGTATCATAAATGGCCTGTTGGACAGGAAGTCTGCTTTTTGTAGGCTCCCTAAACATGGAATCTGAAGGACCTTCACTTCTGCTGCCTGAAGCCTAAAAGAGCCTAAGATGTTGCTCACTACACCCGCCGTCTTGCGTGATCCGTGGCTAATTTGCTGCCAAGCAACCATTCCTGCAGAGACGGATCCACCGGGGGAGTTGATGTACATGGTGATGTCCTGGCTGGGGTCTGAGTTGGCAAGGTACAGCATCTGCGCAACAAGGATCTGGGCCATCTCATCTTTGACCTCCCCGCCCAGAATGATGATGCGGTCTTCAAGCAGCTTGGACATCACGTCAAGCTTCTCACCACTGCCTGTGTCCACCATTGGCATCCGAACTGGCGGAGCAGTGTTGGGAGGATCTGACCTTCTGGGATCAATCTCGGGCTCTCGTCCTGGCTGGGGCTGCTGTGGCTCCGCTAAGCGTGGAGCGCGGCTGGGGCGGCTCTGCCTGCGGAAAGCCGCAGCAGCAACGCCTGCAGCTCCCAGTGCAAGGCAAGCACCGCTTGCAGCCGGAGCCCTGATGCTCTGCCGCAAGGGCTCCACCAGCGGTGCTTCATGCACCTGCATGCGGAGCGGGGCTGCTGGCGCGACAAAAGCGGAAGCTGCCCACGTGGCGCCATAGACGGCTGACAGTCCTGTCAGCGTCATGGCGCCGAATTTGGCGCTGGACCCACCGCGGCCCTTTGCTGCCATTACTCTGAGCGACTCTAGGGGCCCAATATCTATCAAACGCCCTGCGCCTCGCAGCCGAAAACAATGGCGCAGCATCGCACACGAAACTTTGAAGCATGCATGCAGGAAGCATGCCATCCACAGAGGCGCATCCGACCTTGAGGCTTCATGTCAAACTTGTTGCATCTTGCTGCCCTACCTGCCTCCAGCTGATCAGCTCCTCTCCAGATTCGCTCTCGTCGGTAGCATCTGCAGCGGCTCCGCCTGAATGCAGGTCAGAAGGATTCGCCGCGCGAATCTTGTGCCTGGACCTGAGATGCTCTAGTGAAGACCTTTTACAAATGCTCTTGTTTGCTCTGCTTTGCGCTTTCAGTACGGGATAGTGTCAGGGAACATGCAGTCTCCTTATGACGCCCCAGCATTCGAACACTTGCGCTTCTGAGTTTTGAGAGGTATGTCTCAGTAAACATTGCCGCAGCATGCTCATTTAAGCTCCAACAAGCGTGCCTTGTGCGCCTAGCTGACAGGGGTCGAGCATGCCCACTGCAAGCAGAACGAACACTGGCCTGGACTGGGTTGTTTTAGAAGCGTGAAATTTGCTTGTGATGAGCCACGTTAAGCAATACTTGTCGGGCTCTTCCCGGACCTCTTCCATGCCATATGCTTGTCACGGACAATGCTCCCTTGAGATCGCGGCGTGGCAACATAGGCCAGCCTGAGCTTAGCTGGCAACTTCATTTATACATATAGAATTTTAGAAGCGACGCTCTTAGCAGATCCAACTTGGTTCAACATCTCGGCCACCACACGGCCACACGGTGTCCCAATTTTCCCTTGGAGTCGTCGTCGTATGACTTTCTGTTTGCCACTGACGGCCCAGCACTAGAGGTTAGCGCAACACGGGCATACAGCCGCCACAGGTGGCCTGCAAACAACTTCTGCAAATTCTCGGCTTGCTGGCTGCACGAGCTTCTGCGTAAGCTACTGCAAGCACCAAAACGACAAAATTGTTTGGTCCCAAGCTCCGGCTTCAACATCCTGGGCAGATTGACACTTGATTGCCCTCTGCACTAAATTGACCCTCCCCTTCTCCTCAGATGTTAAACATCGGGCTTGTGACTATGCGGCTGACCCAAGAGTACAAGAGTAACCCTTGCATGGCTCAACTGATTGAGCTGCTTCACCACGCATGGGTTCTCAGCTTGTCTTGGGAGTCGCGTCAGTAGCGCGCATTATCTGCACAGCGCACCACCACGAACTAAACGCCCTCATCTGCAAGTCATATCTCGGAAGCCTCTCATGACATTGAAGGTTTGTCCGGAGGAACGGTCTGGGGTAGCGGGCAAGGAATAAGGTCATACCTTTGCCAAATCAGGACTGAAGAGCCCTACAAGCTCATAGTCAATGCCTGCTAAACAAATCCCTGTTCTAATCATCAATACAACAACCCCTTGCACTGCGTCTCGTGAACGTGAAGGCTGGCTAGCAATTGGCTGGCAATAGGCAGCAGCAGTCAACTTGTCAGCCGTAAGCATTAGGGCCCCACCTCACCGGGATCGCTCCGCCAGCGTCAGGCGAGAGAAGAGCCCTTGGAAGGCTGTGTCCTCTCCGCCATCACATGGTGGTTTCCAAAAGAATTGCAAATTGAATCGCGAATTCTAAAGGGACCGGTGTCGTTGTGTCATCATGTTCGCCTGAAAGGGCACACAATCTTGACAACTCAGCGCCTGAGAAGCTGATAGAAGCTGGGTCATAAATAATGGCACCATACGCTTTGTGGCCTGTAATTGTATCCATGAAGAACTCAAAGTTTACACAATATGCACCACGATCAAGGAAAGGGGCCCAGTGGATTGCAGCAAACACCCCCTCCCGGAACTGACGCAAAGCTCCAAACTTCGGCAAGCACAAGATGAGGCTACTAATTTATTAGCATGAGTCCCAAGCTTTGGCACATCCTTCCAGACAGGAGGTCCCTGAGACTACATTGGTACAACTCGAAACTTCAACAGTACGCATTCATGTGTGCAAACCAATGTGCATGTGCATGTGTATGTGTATGTCTGTATGTCTGTGTGGATGCATGTATGTCTGCATGTCTGTATGTACGCATGCATGTATGCATGTATGCATGTTAGTATGTATGTAGATAAATACGTACGTATGTATGTATGTATGTATGTATGTGTGTGTGTGAGTGTGTGAGTATGTGTGTATGTATGTATGTATGTATGTATGTGTGTGTATGTGTGTATGTATGTCTGTCTGTCTGTCTGTCTGTCTGTCTGTCTGTCTGTGTGTATGTATGTATGTATGTATGTATGTATGTATGTATGTATGTGTGTGTGTGTGTATGTGTGTGTGTGT